CATTTAGCTTATCCCTGAACTTGCTCACTGGTTCACAGTTCACTTCTGTATGCACTTCTTGCACACGTGTAAAACAAAACCGTGTTTGTCTTGCATCTTGTAACTTATCTGTTGAGCATGTACTACGAAACCTGTTACACTCACTAGGTCTATATGCATTGCTAGACATCATGGAGCCTTCTCGATATCCACCTCTCTGAGGCCCTTTCGTCATCAATGATTGCATTTTGCTCTCAGACTGCTCTATTCTAGGGGTAAGATTCAATATACTGGCAAACTTGCTCATAGATTGATTGACACTATCTTTTACTAGTTTCAGGATATCATCAAATTTTGGCTCGATACCCTCATCCTCCATACGGGAGCTTATCTTCACCCACTTCCTTTGCAGTCGAGTAGGTAGGCGTCTTGCTATTACTTCTAGTATAAAACTCGAGTTGAGGTCACTCATGAGATTCATCGAAATCATTCCATTCTTGTAAATTAACAAATTATCTAAAAACTCAGTGAGTGCCTTGGAGTCATCCTGTAATTGACCACCATTACCCTTAACAGCCTCGAATAATTTCCCTGCAATCATCGCAGGTCTTCCAAACCTTTGACATAATATGCCCATAGCCTCATCGTAGCCCTCTTTTGGCTTCATAAACTTACAGCACTGTATAGCTCTTGAAGCATCTCCATTGCAATATCTCATCAAATACATCAATTTCAATTCATCACTTAATAGAAAACTACTCAACATAATCTCAAACTCCTTTACAAATTGTAAATAATCAGCTGGGTGTCCATCAAAACACCGTAGTTCAAATTTAGGGAGTTTGATGTTCCTATTATCCCTGAACGGCGAAACAGTAACATCAACCATGTCATGCCTAACATCAGACACATCGTTACAATTAACAGACAAGTCACCATGACTTACTTTCCTGTTTGCATCCAGGACACTCTGTCCCTTCTTTGACCCAGGCATTGTTGAACTTGACCCAATTCCAAAAACATTCTAGATATTGCTTGTTCAAAGAGGACTTGACCTGCACCAGGAAATATGAACGGCGACTATCCAAACTTTCACCACCTGTTTGAATCCGCCAGATCTGTTTCCATCGTCAGAAACTGTCAGCCACGTCTCGTAAACCGTTAATGCCCAGCTCTCGCTACGCTCGGGCCCACGCTGTTCTTCGAAGATTTCAGAAACGCTTAGTTATAACGGACGAAAAAACCAAAACACCGATCTGCCGTTTGATATTTCTTTATTGTTACACCAACATATAAAAAGAATAAGCGAACTAAGGTCTGAAAACAAATATTACAATAATAAATCATTGTATTACTTCTGACGATGTTTCACTTTTCTTTCTGAACAGCGACTGATGAGACGATGACTGTCGTATTGATGCCTCCGCGAAAATTGGGGAAGTTGATTTTAAGCAAACAACCAAGAATTGATCGTTCAATCTTCAACTCCATTGACACCATCGTTGAATAGAGTGTCACAGAATAGAGTTGCTGCTTCAGAGTGCAGTTCTGACTACACAAGTTTACAAGGTATTACTAGTCAGAGTGAAGTTATAAAACCTTTCAGGACTTGCGAGGTGGAATCAAAATTGTCTACTTCTGTTATTAAAGAGTTTGAAAATGATGAAGTTGATGGTAAATTGAATATTTGTGGTAATGATCATGATAGTGCAGATTTGTCTTTGGTTGATCATGATGAAATGGGGGGAATGCCTACTACCGCTAAGTTAAATAAAGGTTCTGTACAACTTGAACGTGAAGTGGAAATAAACGCAGGTGCAGTTGCAGAAGGCATGCACACTTGTCAGACCGTCAGTGTGAGTGATCAGCATGTAGCCCACCTATCATCAGATGCTAGTGTTAAACCTGAGCTGATAGTAAAAGACAGCAGTGGTGGTGGTCTTGCAGGTAGACAAATTTCTGAAAGTCGAGTAACAACAGGTTTTGATCCACTGCTAAGTTCATCAACTTGTGTCACACAGTCGTCGTTGGTGTTGTCATCCACAATGAAACAGGGACCCATGAACTCAAGTATCTTGTGCAATGACTATGATAGTATCAGTTCGTTTGAAAAGACGAAAGATATTGGTCAGTTTAGTGAGAATAAGCCAAGTGTAAACGAAAGAGTAATTGTTAAATTGACTTGCATGAATAAAGGCATTTCTAGTTTCAAGTTACTATTTGAATGTTATTATCTTTGGTGTAAATTACTCTGTTTCTACACTTGGTTGATGAGATATGTCGTATGTTTTTTGGTCATCTATATTCTACGATACAATGACATGAGCGTGTTACCGTTCAGATTTGAGGATATAGCTGATAGAAGGAAGTCAGCAAATGAACTCTGCAAAGATTTTCCAACCTAGAGCGTCAACCTGAGAAGGTTTGTAGGCGTACTGCTGTAAGTCTTACAGTTCTTCAAGGGTAGTTCGTCATGGCAGAATCCACAACATTTGATGTAGTGATTGTACATATGTTTGTGTTAAATAGTTGTGTGAGTTCTAATTATTGTAATTGTTGGTTAATCTTTTTTGTGTCCAGACATTCCACAACTTACAATCGTCAACGTGAAAAGGGTTGTAGGGGTACTGGTGTAAGTCCTGAGATTCTTCAAAGGAATAACTTCGAGACATGAACTGCGAGTTTGTGTGTACTGTTTGTATATACGTGTGGTGTGTCATATCAATTGATGTTTTTTGGATTCATTGTGTTTACTCGTTGTTTTCGTACCTTGTTGTTATTACATAATTTTGTTGAAATTTTCGTCGTGATTACTTCTGAAGTTGTTTCGAGTCTTCTACATCCATGAATGAATTGATTGATGTTAAGGGCAGCAGATGGGTCGTATACGCCGGGGATGCTAGGCTATTACTGAGAATGAAATGCATACGGAGATAATTGTTAGCTGTGGTCCGACACGCCGGGGAGAAAGAGTGTAAACGACTGAGGCTCGCATACGTCATCGTTACTAGAATTGAGGCAGAATGAGTGACAAGCGATTTCAGTGGTAATTGGTAGTGAGTGGATAAGAGGATGTGCGTAGAGTATCGTGAGGTACTGCCATGGTCACGTTGCGTTCTGCAAGAGTCATTCTAGTAAGTGGCGATTGTGTTGCAAGAGGATGCCTTTAACTGGAAGGCGCAGGTCGTCATTGATGTGTGAGATTGTGCTGTGAGTATGCTTGTAGTATGTTGGCTTTTCTGTTTGTTTTCCATTTCAGCTCTGTCTGTGTGACCAAGGTTCTCGCAATGGCATCCAAGTCAACGTGTATTGGTCGTGATGAAAAAAAGGGGTTGGATCTCTGTTTTGGCGGGGAGTGTCAATGTAGTTGAAGATTGAACGATCAATTCATGGTTGTTTGCTCAAATCAAACTTCCCCAATTTTTCCTGGGTCATCAATCCGGCAGTCATCGTCTCATCGGTCGCTGTTCAGAAAGAAGAGTAAAACACCGTCAGAAACCTTAGTCATAAGTGATTTATATGTTGGTGTAACAATAAAGAATCCTCGAGTCGCCAATCGGAGTTTTGGTTTTTCGTCCGTTATTACTAAGCGTTTCTGAGAAACTTCAAGCGACAGCGTGAGCCCGAGCGTAGCAAGAGCTGGGCATTAACGGTTTGCGAGACGTGGCTAACATTGTCTTCATACCATTGCTAATAAATACACTTTTTGGCAACTCTTAAATTTACATATCCCTTCGCTATCTGCGGCAATGTTAAAGACTGTCTGGTAACGGGGTTAGGTGTGTTGGGCTGAAGAGTTAACGGATATTGTGGCCAGAGCTCAGATCTACCAGAATTGATGGCAAATAAACAATCTTGAGAGTTACTTTCGATTCAAACTAACTACAAACGGCCTTGAAGTAGTTCAAGCAGGATAAATAACCGGTTTCTTGAGGGTGACACTATGCGTGACCTATCTAGAAGGTAAAGGTTGAGAGCAAATGGAACACTCTCTGAGAAGAAACCCATTTCAAGGGGAGTCTCATAGGGCACCATATTGAGCTCACTGCTATACTCTTTAGACGTAACAGATCTCAATGAAACCATAAACTCACCTTCACTACCATTCGAAGGATACTTGAAGGGGGGATTATGGTAATAATGATGATAGGTTAGTGCTAGAAAAAATATTGGGCGAATTAACAAAATAGTCTAATCACTGGAGTTTGAAAATCAACTCCGGGTAAATTGCAACTATGCATCTAAGCTAGAAATTCTATCCAACATGCTTCCTGTAACAGGATAGAGGCAATTAACTTTCAGGGGGTAAAATGGTTTAGAGGGCGCTGTCATGTATAACCTAAAAAATGATGCTGATGAGTTTTCCGCTTAGCTGTAGCTAAGGTTTTTCGAATAGGGTAGGAACTTGGTACGGCTTTTCCGTCCTTAGACAGGAACGTTATTGGGGAAAAGTGGTCAGCGTATTTTGTACGTCATCATGAATACTGTTTACAGCCAAATCATCAAATGCTGAAGTAATAGCACTAGGAATGGTACACTTTGAGTATACCCTGACAGGTCGTAACGCTACGTGGAACAAGAGTCGGGTTGAATTCACATGCTTAGATGAAGTGCTTAGCGGCTGGAAATCTTAACAGGGTCAAGTGACATAGGTCCCTTCAGTAGACGCTTTCAATAGCAACCTCTGATAAGCGTTGAGAAGACTAAGGCTACCTCTAACCTACTAACTTTAGTTATAGAAGGCTGAAAGATGTTGCATATCAGTTGTAAATGGTTACTTGAAGACACTGTGGGAAATTTGTTCAGGAATGTCTCACATGCATGCAAGTATACGCCGAGAAATCACCTGGTTGCTAAGTTGTAATACCCGAAATTTGCCTATTCAGATTTTCTCGACTTTTCGAGCTTCGAAAGTCATATTTCATTTCTGGGACCTATATTTAGTACAACTGACACAAAGCATGAGGAATAGGAAAACTAGTTATATGTGTTTTAGTACACGTCTGTCCTGACTTTCACAGCTGATCCTTACCGCGCCATATGTGAGATTTTGCGTTACTTTTCAGAGTGATGGCTGGAAAGGTTGTTAAGCAACTGGCTGGTAGTGGAACAGGCCAAAGCCTTTCCGACCTAATGACAGCCATGAAATACACCTTATCTGGTTCAGTGGTGGTGAAAGTCATCTGCAAAGCTACCACAGAGGAAATGTGTGCTCCAAAAAAGAAACATTTAGCATGTAATTAATGGAATGGTTTTTCACCACGTTTCTAGATCTTGTCCAATGTACATTTGAGCCTCGACTTTCAGTCCCAGATTTTGCTAACCAAATTGTAAATCGGACTCAACATAGCAACTTGGTTGTTGCGTTCAAGGCGCTATTAACAATACATCATCTAATGCAGTACGGCAATGAGGTAGGAATACTTGGAATATTTTTATTGTTAAAACCTTTTTGAGTGCTCTGTCACTAGTTCTGCTTATCTATCGGCATCTTTTGGTGTGTAAATACTCTCTGATGTGGAGTACTGGTTCTCCCGAGTCATAAACTCTGAGAACCGATTCCCATAAGTGATATCAGCAGCCTCGATTGGCCTTTTCAAGAAGGGTTTATAACACAGAAACTTATTATAAAACGATTACTGCAGGTTGTAAGCCTTCTCTCCTCAATAAATTAGTCTAAATCTTGTCACAGCTGTTTTTTTTTACCGACATTGATATCCTACTATGCGTGGCCATTTAATCCGCATGGGAGAATTCTGTAGCACATTTAGGGGGGTTTTCTAGGAAAAATTGATGCGTTTCCCCGAAGTGTTTTGCATTAAGTTGTCCCATAATTTTTTTTATTTGTGTATTTTTGTGAGTGTCAGCTGTCATCATTGATTTTGGTGCGGAGTCAGTACGCTTTAGTAGTAATTTCGTCCAAATCACTGCTTAAGCAGCAATATTAAGATACATTTTCTATAACTTCTTACGTATTATTAGAGTCAACCAAGTCGAAAGTCTCTAATCGTCGTTAACCCGCCTTTGACTACCAGCTATTCGAATTTTAACTATGGCAGTCACCAACCATAAGACTAGTAAACTTGACGATAACCTGTATCGTTATATACACGGACAGCCTTAATTCTCCTAAGGAACTTTAATGAAGCTTCCTAGTTAAACATATTAGATGGTATAATAGCTAGAGAAAAACTTAGGAAACGAGATAACGATTTAATTATGGTAAATTATGGTCACGAAGAGATGCGCCAAACAAAATCTTAAATTTAATGGGAGAGCCAGGTGCTCCCGGACACCCAAACCGAAGCAGGCTATTGTCTCAATGATTCCCTCCCTCCTGAGCCTTTGACTTAAAGTCTGGTAAGCATGGCAGTAGAACAGCCTTAGGAGCAAATTTTCTTTGATCGCCTTTAACCGAAACAAGTCTGGAGATGCCTGAAGGTAACGAATAAGATTTACATGGCAGAGGCTATGAACTTGTGGCCACATAAGGGAATTTTGAGAGAAAAACTGGAGTCTACTCGCACTCAACCGTAACAAGTGGGTAATTGAATAGTAAACTAACTATATACGTGCATGGCATTCCTAATCAGTGGTATAACTGGTAGTTTCGAGGATCCCTGGATTGAGTTACTTGTGGTGGTAAATCGAGAGTTCCTGTTTAAAACAAACGCATTACTTAAGTTTCAAATATTATGGTCAATAGTTGAATGCTTTTCGCGTAATAGACTGTGGTCTTAGTTATTGTAGCACTTAGTAATCGATGGCTAATCCTTTTATGACACGATCTCACAAATTTTGTTTACCACTTTCTAATTCAAATGATAAGAGATAGTAGGCCCTTGTAGCCAGTGTTAATATTTGCAATATGTTTCCTTGTAATTATCTAATTTTTCTTTGAAAGTGCTCACCAATAGAGCAATGAGGAGTTCCATTTGTTGGCCACCCTATGTAAGAATCTAAATCCTACAGGTATTTTGTTCGACTGCAGTTTGAACACCAATTTATCGGTAACCTTTCAATGTTTTTCTAAAAGAGAGAAAAGGCTAGAAAGGTCAACACTCAAATCATTTAAGTATACACGATACTTCAAATTAAATCCGCTTCGGTGTGGTAGTGAGAGGAGGTTTTAAGTTATGCAAGTGATTAGAAATCTTTTTTTTTCTATTTTCTGTAGTTCTTTAGTAAGTGATCCACACGTCATAGTCTTTACTAACATTAATTTTGCAATTGTGCGTGTTTTTTTAAATTTTTATTATTTTATGTTCCTAGTGGAACATAGGGCTTCAAGCTAGAGGCTTAAAGTCTCGGTAACAATGGTATGTATTTTTACAGGATGGGGTTGCTAACCTCATGCCCAACCTCCCCTCTTCACCAGTCTTATTACCAGCTTGGGGAGGTAAAGGAGTGCGTCGGTGGCCGGGGATCGAACCCCTGACCACGTGAGTCGTAGTCGGCGGGCACTTTACCTATGTGTCACCGATGCACTTGCGTTTGTATCGTCCATAGGTAACTCGTTGTTCATGGTTATCTATTAGGCAAAGGGAAACAATTTCATGTGCTTGTAAGGTTGAGTGTGGAAGCCTGGATGCAGAATGTGTATTACACACTTATTGGATAAGATGTTAGGAAAAAAACCACTTGTTATTCATGCCTTGTAAATTTGTCTTTGTTGTTCACACATCAGTTTTATTTTATATTTAAAAATAGAGTAGTAGTAGTAGTCGGAATGGCCATACTGCATTCAAACATGTTATTCTTAATATTATGGTGACTAAATCAGACATTGCAACCACTTATCGTGTACACATTTTCATGGAGTATAGTTCCAATACACCTGTTTATTCATTCCCCATCCACTTTGTATGTGCGTCGGTGGCACAACAGTAGAATGCTCACCAACCACGCAGGTGGTTTGGGGTTCAATCCCCGGTCACTGACGCACTCCCTAACCTCGCTAAGCCGGTAACAAGACTGGTAAAGGGAGAAGGTTGGGCATATGAGGCTGGCTAGCAACCTCATTTCGTAAAAATAAACTCCAGTGCTTACTGAAACTTCAAAGCTCTAGCTTGAAGCCCCCTGTCTGTCTATCTATCTGTTTTCGACATAGAACTTTGCACCGATGTACAGCAGTTCAAGTCACCACACACACCCCCAATGTAGCACACAAAGCAAGAGAAAGTAGAAGAAATGCATAAAAGAGACAGCAAACAGAGCTGTGAGACAAAGGAATAGTAGTAATGAATAACAAAACAGTTTCATTGGAAATCATAAGTTACAAGGAGTGGATCCATTTGCAACGGACATTGAGAATTATTTTGAGCCATATCACCAATTGGTGTTTACTGTCCCGAGGACCCCAACCAGGAAGTCTACACCTTCTTACGTGGCTAGCTTAAACTAACTGTTGTAGATTTGATTGACTGGTGAAGCCATGTTTTGGTGTGACCGCCACTGGCTAGCTCTTTTCTATATCTATCTATATCAGCTAACATTGCCCGTCGAGGAAGGCGATGACTAGGCATACGTAACACATGTCCTAAACATCTCGGTCTATGTAACTTCACAGCCTCGTCGATTGATTTCCCCGCTTACTTAGAACTCGACGCCTAACCTCAGTATTGCTCACTCTATTATACCAGTTCACATGGGAGATAAGGCGCAGGTATCTATGATCAAAGACAGCTGGCCGGCCTTTTCATGTCTTCCACTCTCAATGGCCAGGTCTCACAGCCATAAACGAGGACGGAGCGGACTGATGAGCAGTACACCCGCCCTTTGGTTGATAGCCAGCCGGATATCACATCTACTATGCCAGAGACGGCGTAAACTGGCATATGCGAAACTAGCCCTCTGTATCTGTGCTGAGATTTCGTCAGAGATCAGCCTGCAGAAGAGTAGTAGAGAAGCAAGATGTGGAAGGGGATGTAAGTAAAGGAGAATGATGCTCAGGAAGGCTTCGTGTGCTTTTGGAAGTGTGTGGTTGAAGCCCCCTATGTTCCACTGTGAATGTAAAGGAATAAAAAAAACCAGTTTGTATAATTGATACATACAGAAAGTTATCTTTTATTGAAACACGAACTTTGCACATTATTTTCACTAAAAGATGCGCCACACAAAATTCCAGTTTCTGCAAGGTCTAGGATGCATCCCGGACACCTAAACTAAAGCATATGTTTGTCTTGTCTTAAGGAGCTACCCCACGAGTCTTTGGTTTGAAGTCTGATCCTAACACGAGGTAGGTGTAAAGCGTCAAGAGTTGCGTTTCCGTAGTTTCTGGTGCCTAAAACAGGTTCAAACGCCGTCCGATCATTTTGGATTCTGGAGCTGGTGTGCATCAGGTTTGGAATCAGGGTTTTCCAGTTCCCCTAGGTAAACCTACCTACCTGTTCATCAGTTTGATTGTAAGCGCCGGACGTTCACATTTGGACAATACAGAAGAATATTAGATCATTACCTGTGGTAGTTTGACACTAAACAGAGGTGTGTGAGACAAAGGAATAGTAATAACGAAGAACAATATAGTTTCGTTTAAAATTGTAAGTCACAAGGAGTGGATGCATCTGCGCCATTGAGAACGATTTTGAGCCATATCACCAATTGTTTCCAACCTTCATTGGTTTTTACCGTCCCGAGGACCCCAACCAGGGAATCTACACCTTCCTACGTGACTTAAACTAAGTGTTGTAGATTTCATTGACTGGTTCCATGTTTTGGTTTGACTACGATTACCACTGCCTCTTTTCCAAACTGACCCTATATCAGCTAACATTGCCTGTCGAGGAAGGCGATAACTAGACATACGTAACACATGTCCATCTCAGTCGATGTAGCTTTACAGCCTCGTCGATTGATTTCCCCTCCCACCTACTTAACACTCGACACGTAATCTCAATATTGCTCACCTTATTATATCAATTCGTACGGGAGATAAAACGCAGGCACCTATGATCGAAGACAGTTAATCTTTTCATGTCTTCCACTCTGAATGGCCAGGTCTCATAGACATAAAGGAGGTCAAGGCGGCTTAGTTGACTAGTGTTCTACCATTGAACGACCGATGCATATATAGTCTGTTACTAGTTTATTTATCAGATATATCACAGTATAAAACATTATATCCCGAAGGCATTGCGTTTAAAAGATTGCCAAGCAAATAATTCTTTCTCACTGTACAATATCTAATAAAAAGACTCAGATCGATTTTTACTAGGAAGAGAGATTTTTAAATAGTTGATTATTGTATTAGTATTCATTCCCTGGGTCCCCACTATTTGTTACACAGGGCTTTACATGCACACCACTCACTATTTCACTCTGTTCTCAACAGTCTTGTTTTAGCTAACCGCACGATTGGCCATGAACTGGCACCTCTCCTCCATTTCATGCTTGGAATGAAATCCAATTCTCTCTTGTTCCGATTTGGCTTCTAATCAAGGATTTACTTAGTCATTCAACGGTCTCCTCAGCGTATATCCACTCCTTCTGCATAAATGTGGGATAATAATATGTTCTTGGTTGGTTCACTGCCTGCTTATATCCTTTACAGTTCTAAGCTTGGGAAAGTAGTGAAAGTTGGCTGTTTAGGACTAGCCACCTTCACCTTAGAAAATCGATCCGATCGCTACAGAAATTTCAAAGCATATTTATATTTTAGGAAGGATTGAATAAGAATGTTTTTGTGTATCTCTCTAATGTTCTAATCGACCTTCAGGGTTGATAACCAATAATGTTTGTCTCACACTCAGTTTTTTTTCTTCAAAGCGATTTTACCCTCTCTTCCAAATAAGATCAAATGTAAGGAAATATGGTGAATAACTTGTTTGCTCTCCACTAATTTGAAGGTTCAGTAATAGAGAGGTTTTCGTTAAAGTCACTCACGTGTGCGTTGATTGTCAGGGATTTGATTGATTCTAGGTTTAACCATCAAAGGAATTCATATCTCTGCCAATCAACACTTGAAAGTTAATTGAGTGTTGGCTAATGGCTGATTACTACGGGATGAAGTTGTGTGATCAGTGTGGTCCATCAAGTTGGGTGTTGATGATAAACACTCACTGATAACATCGGCTAATGGTCGTGCTGAGTATGTGCAGGATTAGCAGAAGTTAGAATTCGCGGATCGTCCATTGAATTGCATCTTAGTTGCTGGATGGGTAATGAGCTCGCCTCGTAACCCGATAGTCCTGGTTTCGATACCTGATGAGGTTATATTTAGCTACTGCTGTAGAGTGCGATAGCATGCAGGCTATCCAAATCACACTTAATCAGTTGGCGATCAGTGTCTGTTAGTATGGTGTATGTGCTTTGCACCGTCTAAGTGCAAAGTACTGTTACAAGATTGGCAGGAGCCTGTACCTGCACTCACTCTTTCAGGTGAACCGCTTGAATTTGTTGATAAGTTTGTGTATCTGGGTAGTTGTGTGAGTGCTGGCGGAGGGGTGAAGGATGAGATTTTTAACCGTGCAATGAAGGCTAGGGTGGCATACATCAACATGAGCCACCTCTGGCACCGTCGCGACGTTAGCCTGGCTGTCGAAGGTCGGGCATACAATGCTTCGGTGCGAGCTGTCTTGCTCTACGCCTGTGAAACTTGGCCTCTCCGACTAGGCTGAGGATGTGCGGCGACTCTGCGTGTTCGATCATTGCTGTCTCTGTCGGATTGCTTGCGTTCGACGGAATCATCGCGTGAGTAATTCTGAGATTCGGCGGCGTGTGTTTGAACACAGTGGAGATCACCATTCATTGAGTGTTGTCATCTTGAGACACCGGCTCCGGTGGCTTGAACATGTGCTGCGAATGTCATCCCAGAGGCTTCCGTATAGGTCTCTGTTCTCTAGCCATGGGACGGGATGGAAAAGGCGGAGGGGTGGTCAGTCCATGACGTGGCGTCGTGGGATGAAGGATTTTTGTGCTAGATTAGCATCGGTTGGTGTTTCGCGACTCCCTGGTTGGGGTCCGCGAGATAACTCTGATATGGCCAAGAATCGTAATCATCAATGGCGAACGTGTTGCAGTTTCCTTCTTTCTTCCCTTCCCGATGATAGTTAACGAATACTGTTTGAACTCGTTAAGTAGTATGACTGTTTTCCTTCCAGATGAAGTTGTTTATCCGTTCTCTACTTATATTTTTTTTATACTTTTGATCTATGTTGTTTTATTACTATTGTGTGGCGCATCTTTCTTGGTGCCATATTGTACCAAGTTTTTTCTGCGTTTAAATAAATAACTGCTGTAGAGTTCCAAACCAGAGCGTCGGTGGCACAGTGGTTAGGACTCTGGCCGACCATGCACATGGTCCAGGGTTCGAGCCCACGCCGACGCACACCTGATATCTATGGTTGGCCTGCAAAATTTGGGCTACCGATATCCACGCTGAAAATTCCATACCTGTACCAAAAATACGGTGTGAAATCAAACTGTAATCAAAAATAAAAAATAAAATAACTAAAATAAAAAATAAAGAATATTGTCCAGTAACCCGTTTCTGATTTTAAACAGTTTTCTAACTACAGGATTTCATCATGAACTGACATTGGTTAAAGAAGCATTGAGAAACCATCAGGGAATACTAGAAAGATGTTTCGTCCTAGTTCGGGATTCTTCATCAATATGCACCCACCGCCATGGTTCGAACCCAAGACCTTCCGGTCACAAGGCACGCTCGTAGACCACTCAGCTACTGGGACAAGATCCAACAACCAGTCTGTGAGTTCTAACTGCCGCCAATTCACAATATAGCGCGATTGGCACTATTCAATATCATAGCTGGCGAGTATTTGTCCTCACACGCAACCTGCTGCACTCCACTGGTCACTATTCCCCACTAGAACCCAGGTAAATACCTACGTGAATATGGTCAATCACTAGTGAGCATCAGATATTCAAGTGTTGGGATTTGATTGGTTTCAGGATTTCATCATGAGCATCAGCAGCAGGGAGTATTGGGACAGCTGTCTCGTCAGCCTAGTTTGGGAATCTTCATCAGTGTGCACCCACTTCGTGATTAAACTTAGTCTCTTAGTCGATTTTTTTATCATTATTTTTATTTAAACGCATAAAAACTTGGTACAATATGGCACCAAGAAGGATGCGCCACACAATAATAACAAAGCAACATGGATCAAAAGAAAAAAATATATTTAAGTAGAGAACGGACAAAGAACTTCATCTGGAAGGAAAACAGTCCTGCTTAACAAGTTTAAACAGTATTCGCCAACTATCATCGGGAAGCACGCGATAAGTTTCATTGATCGTTTGTTGCTTTATTCAATTCATTGTGTGAGTGCTGAGATACTGCCCGGGTGCCCAGACCGAAGCAGGTGGTTTTATTAAGGGACCACCCTCCCCCGAGCCTTTGACTTGGTTGGAGTCTAATCCGCAAGGCAGCGGAGCAGCAGCATCAGGAGCTGCATTCCCATGGTTTCCAGTGACCCATATGGGTTCATACGCCATTTGATCCGATTGGATACTGGAGCCCATATACCCCATAGTAACTACTTTTAGTTTAACTGCTATCCAAACAACCTTCCTGACATGGTAGGACCTGCAGGCACAGAGTCCCAGTCAGTTTAGCATGTTGGGTCATTACGGTATTCAAGCCCGACCACCACGACAAGGTAGCAGTCATCGGCCGGGGGTTGAAAAGAGTCTTTTCCCTGAATATTTGTGGGGGGACTGTCAGGAGAGTTCATTAACATTACAAATATCAACCGGGCTCTTAGTCGATTAACAGTTTGTAGAGAAGACTACGTTCAAGCATTTCCCATATGAAAAAAAGCTTATTTTATTTATACTGTCATCTACACTGTAGTTAATTTACTGCTTTTTTCTATACATACATCCATATAGCTGCTAGTAAATTCTAATTATCCTTTTCCTTATGTTTAATTTCAGAGATTTTCACAATACATTGCATCGAATAATTGTCATTTCTATGTGCCAAGTGTACATGATCGCAACACATTTCAATGTAAGATGGTTTAATCTTTCTTTGTGTATTTGCCTTTTTTTTTAAAAAAAAAATTGCATCATGTGATGCTGAAATATTTCAGCTGACTAATAACTGAGTCAACTGAGTTTTCAAAGGTAGAATGTTTACGCAGAAATAGGGCAGTTCAAGTCGCCATCCCCCCCCCGCCCCGTACAGAGCAGAACACATCACTAAGCATAATCTCAGAGCATTTGGGTCTCAGTGACTCAAAAAAGTTAACCAAGCAATCCTACCACTCTCCCCCTCTCTCTCTCTCTATGTGACTTTAACAGTCAGTAATTTGATGAATGGATGGATTGATTCCATCTTTTTTTTTGATTTTATCAATCTAAACTCTTTTTCAACCGAATCCTATATCCAGTTAACATTGTTTGTCAAGGTGTTTAGTCGGTGGCACAGTGGTTAGGACTCTCGGCGACCATGCACATGGTCCGAGGTTCGATCCCCTGCCGACGCACACCTGATATCTATGGTCGGCCTACGAAATTTGGGCTACCGATATCCATGCTGAAAATTCCATACTTGTACCAAAAAGAATACAGTATGGAATCAAGCTGTAATAAAAAATTAAAAATACTGGCTTCCATATTAGTTTGTTTATTAGACGTATCACATACTGAAACCTTACGCAGAATTCTTAACAAGGCAGGAATAAAAGTGGCTGGTATTCAAACCAACCACAAGCTCAATTAAAAACAAGCTTTGTCGGTTAAAGGATCAATCCTGTGGAGCCTTTAAAACAAAACAATTTAGTTTATCTAATACCCTACCTGGAATGATTGTCAGGTCAAATACACAGATAGGTCAAACTAGTAGAACAGGGGCAGTCAGACTAGCCGAACATAAAAACCTAGCAAAATCTAAATTAGTTGACCCGAATAAGATAAGAAATCTAGAGAATAGTTCAGCTATACCACTCACTACATGTAATCACGCATAACCATACAATAGGATTGATGGGATAAAATGACAGTTTCAAAATCGAATGTAACAGAGTGGTGGAAGAGATTGATAACAGAAGCTTTGTTTATCGAATCAAATGAGAGAGAATACGTGTAATAGGAATGATTCAACACCTGTCCACCCAGATATCTGAAAAATTCTACTACCCCAACGACGACAAATAGGAGAGATTAAAGAAAACTATAAAACTCAAGTTTTGAAGTCGTGTGATTATAATTGATGATATGGTTATGAACAATAATAAATTTTGTTTGAAACGTCATCCAGTAAATAATAATACTGTTTCATTGACTGTGTGACATATCTAATAAAGAAACCAATATGGAATTATTTACTATCACAGTGCCCAAGTTTTACACATATATTAGTGTAGTGGCTTCTCATGCCTTAACACGTGTCCTAGTTCATCTCGATCGATGCAGCTTTACAATCACCTCATCGATAAACTCTCTCTCTCTCTCTCCTTTCTTAGCCAACACTGCATCCAACTTCAATATTATTACGTGTTCAGTTTATTAGATCGGAAAAAGAAAGAACGGAACATATTTGTAGAGCAATATGAGTTCATGTCCTATTTCGTGGATTCTCGTCATCAAATACTCCCTAAATGACTGACTGACTGGTTTCATCGTAGAACTTTGCCACTCTCTCCCTCGCCATGTAGCACACAAAACAAGAGAAGAGAGATAAACCGAAATATGAGGCAAAAAGAATAGTAATATGAAAGAACAATAGAGATTTAATGGATATTATAAGTCATAGGGAGTAGATGCATCTGCACCAGCCATCACAGAGAACGATTTTGAGCCAGCCACATCACCAATTGTCTCCAGTTTTCATCGATTCCTGCCATCTCGAAGACAACAATCAGTCAGGAAGCTAGTCTACACCTTCCTACTTAACCGGATGACCTGCTTAAACTACCTGTTATGGATTTCACCGACTGAAGCCATGTTTTCGTCTGACCGCCACCAACACTAACTCTTTTCCAACCTGACTCAATCCTATATCAGCTAACATTTCCTGTTAAGGAAGGTGATGGCTTGGAATGCGTAACACATATCATATCTATCTCAATAGGTGAAACTTCACAACCTCGTCGATTGATTTCCCCTCCCACCTATCTAGCACTCGACTGAAGCCTAAACTCAACATTACTCACCCTATAATACCACCACTTAACACCGGAGGTAGAACGCAGACACCTACGATCAAAGACAGATAGCCGGCCTTTTCATATCTTCACTTTCGATGGTCATGTCTCACTAGCAACCATAAAAGATGATAGAGCGAAGTAACTGCTGAGCAGCCAGTTACCCGGATATCACGTCTACTAAGCCACGCATAGCGTAAGTTGGAGGGCCTATGCGAAACGAGCCTTCTGTATATCAGTGCTGAGACTCCGTTAGCGATCAACCCACTGGCGTTGGTTGATGTAACTTCCCAAATGCGTGACCTGGTCAACACGTTCCACTACCCACTTCATTCGTACCTATCTTTCTTTAAGCTAGGAGGGAGTCAATGTAGTCCAGTCCAGTCCAGTTCTGTAGCATCATCTTACATTTGACAGTAGGAAGGAATCCTACGCTTGTCAACTACTGCCATACAACCAAAATAATATCAAAATATAAAAATTACAAAATATCTGACTGAACATACTGCTCTCACAGTGATGTTGAGTTACTACATAGATAAACAGATACAAGCAACATTTCAAAAATAATTTAAGTAGACAAATTATTCGTTTGTTAAAAGGTCAGCTAGTTTTATAGTAAGATTAAACAAGTGCTTGGGTGGGTGGGAGTGGGTAGAGATCAAATTTAGTTTTTATAAACAAGGATCGAATAGAGACAGACTAGAAGATTGAACTGACTTTCTGACTCCTAGTTTAGAAATAGAGAGTAAAGTGGTAGAGCACGTTGACCGCTTCACTTATTTATAAATATAAATATATATATATAAATATAAATATATAAATATATATATATATATATATATATATATATATATATATATAGTGCTATGTGCTAGGTAAGGAGGTGAAATCAATCGACGAGGCTGTGAAATTACATCAACTGAGATGGTTGAGACATATGTTACGTATGCCTAGTCATCGCCTTCCTCGACGGGCAATGTTAGCAGACATAGGGTCAGGTTGAAAAAGAGCTAGTGGCGGTCAAACCAAAACATGGCTGCACCAGTCAATGAAATCCACAACATTTAGTTTAAGCCACGTAGGAAGGTGCAGACTAGTTTGTAGATTAACTGAGGTACTAGGCAAAGTCTGGGAATCAGAGACAGTACCATCAGACTGGGGTAAGTCACTCATTATACCGATATTCAAGAAGGGAAACAAGTCCTCGTGTGATAATCATAGGGGGATCAGCCTAACGAACATAGTCTCTAAAATCCTAGGCTCAGTAATCATGCATAGACTAAGCAGAACTCGGGAGGAACAGACAAGGGAAAATCAAGCAGGCTTTAGACCAGGTAGAGGGTGCATAGATCATATCTTCACTCTTCGACAGATTCTAGAACATAGACACACTTTTCGGCGTCCAACAATTGTCATATTTCTTGACTTGAAGGCGGCCTTCGACTCCGTGGACCGAAAGGTACTATGGCAATGTCTGACTGTGAAGGGAGTGCCAAGAAAGTACATTGCACTAATCAAGGCACTCTATTCAAACTCACGTAGTCGTGTAAGGGCTTATGGGGAATTGTCATCTGAATTGGTAACAACCAGTGGTGTCCGACAGGGATGTCCACTTTCCCCATTTCTGTTTAACTTCATCATAGATATGCTAATGGAAGTATCCTTAACTGAACGTAGTGACTTAGGAATCGACTTGTTACCAGGGAATAATCTTATGGACTTAGAATATGCAGATGACATAGTCCTGTTAGGGGAGGATGCTGACAAAATGCAGAGTCTTCTGAACACCTTGAGCAGCAATCTTCGTATGTTTGGCATGCGATTCGCCCCTGCAAAATGTAAGATGCTGCTACAGGACTGGACGACGTCAACCCCTAACTTAGTGATAGGGAGTGAAGTGATAGAACATGTTGACCACTTCACCTACTTGGGAAGTTGTATTAGCACCAACGGACTGATTGGCGATGAAATCTCAGCACGGATCCGAAAAGCTCGAGCTGCTTTCGCTGACTTACACCATCTCTGGCGTAGGCGTGACATCCGGTTATCAACCAAGGGACGTGTGTACTGCTCATCAGTTCGCTCCGTCCTTCTCTATGGCTCTGAAACATGGCCAATACGCGTTGAAGACATGAAAAGGTTGACTGCTTTCGATCATAGATGTCTGCGATCTCTGTCTCACGTTAGGTGGTTTCACAAGATAAGTAATGTTGACGTTAGGCGTAGAGTGTTGGGCAAAGAGGGAAAATCAATCGACGAGGTTATAAAGTTACATAGACTAAGATGGCTAGGTCACGTGGTGCGCATGCCTAACCACCGCCTCCCCCGACGGGCATTGTTAGCTGATATAGGTTCAGGTTGGAAAAGAGCCAGTGGTGGCCAAACAAAAACATGGCATCAATCCATGAAATCCTTGACAGTTAAACTGAGTCAGGTAGGGAGATGCAGACTCCCGGGTTGGGGCCCTCGGGACTCTAGGAATCAATGGCTGGAGACAATAGGTGACATGGCTCAAAATCGTTGTCAATGGCGCAGATGTATTCAATCTCTGTAATCTTTCATATTCCTTTCTACCATTACCCATTCTGTTTCACTCTTATATTTGTCAAACTCTATTAATTCTCTTCACTCATCTTCTTGTCTACCTCTGTGCTATTTGGAACGTGGCAACTCGAACTGCTGCACTTCGGTGCCAAGTTCTATGTTGAATCCAGACAGCTTCACTTATTTGGGAAGTACCATCAACCAGTGCCGACGGGTTGATCTTCGACGAAATCTCAACACGGACACAGAGGGTTAGTTTCGCATATGCCAGTCTACACCGTCTCTGGCGTAGACGTGATATCTGGCTATCGACCAA